TAAAAAATGGTGCCCCCCCCCCCCCCCCCAAAATCTAGGATACACAGCTATGCATTCAGTTTGGTATTCTGTGCAGATTGAAGTATTTTTCCAACATGATACATTCTTGCATCACATCTTTTAAAAGTCCTCCTAAAAATAACCTTTTCAAAAGCAAAGTACCATACTTTCTTGCATAAAACATGCCCCAGAATATAATACACACCTTGTTTTTGAAAGACAGAAAGAAAAAAAAAATTTTTTTTCCAGAGTTATGGCTGTGACAGAGCCTAATCTTCAGCTGACTCACCCTCCTTTTCCTGTTTAAGTTAACAGGAACAGCTAGCAGATAACAAAATTATCTTAAGAAAGGTTATCTTGATTAGTGGAACATCAAGAACATTAAAAAGAACAGATGATTATTAACACCTGTAGAATGAAGAACAATGGGCTTTTAAGTCAACTGACTCCCTCAACTGCCTGAACTGTAATGCTGTTGCACTGCAGAGTAATAATCAAAGCAGAGTACTTCTACCCTGGACATAAAATCAGCTTCCCTACTCAAAACACGTACCCCAATTTTGCGGGGCTGATTTTTTGGGGGAAAGTATATGTTGCACATGAGAAAATATTGTACTTTGCTTTTGTAAAGGTTACTTTTAGGTTTACTTTTCAATAAGTGACACGTATTATAGGCTTAATTATTTTACCAGAGGGAAGGGAAAAAATCCATAGGAAGAAATGAAATTGGATATACAAATAAACTAACCTTTGGGCTTGTGACTCATAGCATTTATTTCTTTTTTTTTAAAGAAAAAAAAGGAAAAGCCTCCAATTCCCCTTTGCTAAGAAGCATGAAAGTTTCTCTTGCATATCAAGGCAAAACTATAATTGTATGTTTTTTCATTAAATATTTCAGTGAGTTTTTAAATGCCTTTTCTGCAGCACTTGAGCTTCCCTGCTGGGTACTGATGAATGATGAGAAGATGTGAATTTTCTAATCAATGAGTGCACAGGAAAAAAGATCTGTGACTCCAAGTTAAAGCCCAATCAGGCTTATGAAGTGACATAAATGACACAGGATTCTCTGCTCAATAACGAATTTAAGGAGATATCAAGGGAACCATTTCCCAATGCTGCTGAAGATAGAAGATGATGATATTTCTCCTCTTCAAGGAAAATGATGTTCCACAATCAAACACAGAGCCACAAAATTTGTATCATCAAATGCCATTTCCCCAACACTTCTTTTTAATCAGATAGAGGAAAGGAACTTCACAATTAGATGATGATGATTAAAGCAAGCTCCTGAATTTAAAGTGCCATTCCTCCTAGACTCTAAACAGGGTTAATTTATTTACTACTTTTTGAGTCTTTTCTCCTGTTTATTTAGGGCCCATATCTGCATTTGTTGAAAAAGCCTAATTCCCAATGAAATCAAAATGGAATTTTGGCTTTTCATGGAATACACATCCACTCTTTACTTCCTGCAACGCCTTGTATGTGCTTATGCATCCAAGATGTCAAACACCAATAAGGTAGGGGGGGAAAAATCACCAATTAAATAATCAATAAAACTAATAACATGTCCTTAAAGCTGGTCCAAAGGAATGCACCTAAGTGTGTCTGTATGTATACATCCTCTCCTTTAAAAAAATACCATTTACCCACTTAGAAATTATTTCTCTCTATTCACACTAAAAAAGAAACTTCATACAAATGCCACTTTTTAGTGATCATACTATACACATATATGTAAAAACAAATGTCCTTTGAAATTACTCATAATATCAAAACAGTCATTATGAATGTATTCACCCATTCGAGGTAAACTGTTCATTTCATTAGGATGGGAACAGCAGGAGTGAATTAACACTTACGTAACACACGGTGCCACACCATCTCCTTGAGAAACACATTGCTCGGTTTCTTCTAGTTCTGGGCATTCACCTTCACTGCCAATAGGAAACTGCTTAATTGTCCGTGTTCTTGTACGATTTCCTTTTGGGGATGTCATATCAAAACAGGTTTTGGAACATGGGCTCCAGTCGGACCACTCTGACACCTGGCAGTCCTTAGTGATCACACAGGACTGGAAAGTAATTGGCAACTTGTCTTGTTGGCAAAACCTGTAAGAAAGCATTAAGATTTTCAGCACATGTATTCACAAGCACTTATGAACAGGATAATCACTACATCATACACTACCCTAAATGCACCTAATAAATAATTATTTCTGCATGCAGCTTGTTATGACTTATGCTGCAAGTTCTTCTTATCACCTTACTCAGACAAAACTATATTTGATTTAATTGGTTAAGTAAGAGTTGACTAAGAGCCGCTTTATATGGCCAATTACACAATACCACAAATAAAAACAGCAGCTATTGTTTAAGGCTGTACTGGGTCATATCTTAATTGTATATTTTCAGTTACAGATGAGAACTGATGTGAAAGAGAAAACAGCATATGCTATAAGGGGAAATGCATCAGGGTTTTTTTAGTTCTGTGTTTATTTGGTTAGTTTTTCTTGGGGGAAAAAAGAATGCAAAGTGTGTTATCAACAACAGAGAAGCTCACAACGTGGCATGAAGATTACTGAATAGTCAAGGAGCTCTGGCACCTCCTCATTTTGAGATGATAATTTGCTATAAAATATTACAAATACATTAAATCCTTTCCCAATATAACTTTTCCATTTAAGCAATTGGTGCATTTCCACAGAAATGTTACATGATCCATAAGGTCATGAAAAGGGAAGTGGTAATGGTCCCTGGAGATACTCTTCCTATAATACTGTAATCTACACCATGACATGGAATATAACTGTACACTTACATTTCTTTCCTTTTGAAGCCATTTTTCCATTCCAAATGTAACTGGCTTCCTGCATTAGATAAACTTTTAATAAGACATATGTACCTAAGTGCCTATACATTTTTAAAAATATATAAGTTAAATAGGGTTTTTTTGCTTTTTTGCTTTTCAGGTTGATTTGCAATAAGAAAAAATATACAGTAAAAATAAATTAAACAGCTCAGAAGGTTAATTCTTCAACCGAAATTACAATATATAAACATGTATATCATGTTAATTCTAGTACAGACAGCTGCATTTTGAGATAGTTATAACTAGTTTACCTACCACTGCATATAGCTCAATCAAACACTATCAAGTCATTGGATGACACTAAGATATGGGGAGAAGTGGGCATGCTAGAAGAGAGGGACAGGCTACAAACAGATCTGGACAGGTTACAGAGGTGGGTGGATGAGACTAGGATGGGTTTCAATACTGACAAGTGCAAGGTGCTGCACCTGGGGAGGAAGAACCAGCAGCATACCTACAGGCTGGGGAACTCCCTTCTTGTCAGCACAGAGGCAGAAAAGGATCTTGGAGTCACTATTGATTCCAAGATGAACATGGGCTGCCAATGTGGGGAAGCAGTCAGAAAGGCTAACCGCAACTTGTCATGCGTCCGTAGATGCATCACGAGCAGGTCCAAGGAGGTGATCCTCCCCCTCTGTGCGACATTGGTCAGGCCACAGTTGGAGTACTGCATCCAGTTCTGGGCACCACACTTCAGGGGGGATGTGGACAGCATGGAGAGGGTCCAGAGGAGGGCCACTCATATGGTCAGGGGGCAGTAGGGCAGGCCCTACAAGGAGAGGCTACAAGACCTGAACTTGTTCAGCCTCCACATGAGAAGGCTGAGAGGGGATCTGGTGGCCATCTATAAACTTGCCAAGGGAGACCAGCAGGCAAAGGGAGAGTCCCTGTTCCCCCTGAGCACACCAGCCGTAAGTTGACTGAGAGTAGATTCAGGCTAGATATCAGGAGGCACTACTTCACAGTCAGGGGGGCTAGGAGCTGGAACCAACTTCCAAGGGAAGTGGTGCTCGCTTCTACCCTGGGGGTCTTCAACAGGAGGCTAGATAATCACCTAGCCGGGGTTGTTTGACCCCAGCATCCTTTCCTACCCATGGCAGGGGGGTCAGACTTGATGATCTGCTTAGGTCCCTTCAAACTCTACCAACTATGAAACCATGATATAAGTCAACTCTTAAATCATTGTTGGTTGTATTATCTCATTTATGACAGTTATATTAGGGGTGAAACACACGCACGTGCGCGCACACTCACACACCCCCTCTTTCTTCAGTCCAAAAACCAAACTAGTAGGGAATTAGAAAAAAACTGTTCATAAATATTACATTATTTTACAGTCATTCCATATAGTTTTTATGCACCTTCAAAGAATTTCTTATTAGACTATAAGGATTATATGGCGTAATACTGTAAATCCTATTTTTATAACATCAGGAGCATACATATTAATTCTGAACCTGCTAATGAATGTGAACAAGAACTGTGTTCCATGTGAATTCTTTTACGTACAGTGTTTATGAATCCTTTTTGATGGAAGGTGCTGATACTATTATCTTTCTGAGTCATCTACTGATCTGAATGGTACTTGTAAATGATATGAGAACAGAAACTATATACATAAAGAATAAATGTATATATAAATCACATTTTTACCCATACTGTAAGAAAAAATAATTTACTCCAAGTAATATTTGTGTCTCAGCCTTACATGGAATGAAAGATATGGCAATTTTGGTGGGAATCAATAGCAAGATATGACCTATTAAAATGACAGAGCCAAATAAAGACAACACTGATAATATGTGTTGTACCCTCTTGGCAGCAGATGAGTTGAAAGGTGATTTCAAATCACTTTTACATCCTTATTGGTTTGGGATTCTGTGAGATCTGGTGTAAATTAGAACAGCCAAGACTTTCCTTCTTGACAAACTCTTTCTTCATTCTCCTGCTCCTATAGTAATTGGGAGTATTATAGGCTTTGATATGCCCTATGAGGCTGCCATCTTGTCCATGGCCTACTTGTACACAGGATTTATGCATCGTCCTATTTATAGTAGTCCTATATAGCACTTAAGGCTGTGAAATTTTACCCTATCTGGATGTTGGCCTTCTACAGCCCTCATATCCTTTGCAGTGTTATAGTAGCATTACAGGTGATGTAATCAGGGCCAGAAACCATGAATTTACCATTTCAAGCAGGACAGTAACTGATTTATATATGAAAACAAGAAAAATGATTCTAGTCAGCAGACTTTGCCACTGGATGAGCATCACTTTTACAGTGCAATTCAGCTTTGACATCTAGTACTAGAACAGCACAAATTGTTATCTGTGAAACCCCATACTTTAATAAGAACAAGAGAGAAAGAAAGAAATACAATGCATTATTGCACAATGTTTTTAAGGCTACAACTGATATAAACACAGGCTAAAAATTAGAACTGAACAAAATTTAGAATTTCCATTGTATGGCAAATTCCAGCATTTCAACTTTTGTTCCAAACTGGAACAAAACATTTAGACATGCCCAAAATTGAACAAATTCATTTCACTTTGTTGAAATGACCTAAAACATCAATTTGAATTTCCCATTATGACACACTAGCTCATGAAACTGGTTCAATAACTGGATGTCTATATTCTTTTCTATAGGATAGGCTATCTTTTCTATGATCCATCAACAGTCATACAACTTCTTGGAGGCACCATTGCACTAGGTCAGAAGTAAATCTGCACTGTGGGATAGACGTAGTTTTCTGCAGATCTTACTAATAGGGAAGAAAAGTCCTGAATCAGAATTCTTCTCAGACAAGGTGCTGATAGAGATTCCAGTTTAATATTTTATTAACCCAAGCATTTCAGGTTAGTTCAACAACATGATTTAGTGCGATCATTCATGAAAATGATTCCGATTTAAATACAAGTAGACCCAATACTATGTATTTCATTTTTTTTCCGAAAGAAAATTTTAAAAAACAACAGTTAAATTTTCCACCAGAAAATTTAAATTTTACTGAAGCTGCATTTTCAGTTCTGTATAAAATAAAACACTAAGACCTATTTCACAGAAAGTTCTGAATCCACTGAAGAACATCTTTGTCCATTTGCACAAGATCCCATGGGTAAGTCAACTATGTCTCATGGTTCATTATATGAAAAAGCTGCTGATAGAGCTAACAAAATTAGAATGCCATTTTAACCTTATCCATTACTAGATCAACCAAGATCGATACAAATACAATTATTTTCAGATCTGGGCTTGACCCTCCGTGACTAAAGGGTGAAAGCAGAACTGAAGATGGCTCACCCACTATTCTATCAAGTTACCATTCCCATTATTTATTATTACATTACTATTCTCAGGAAACAGAAGCAGCAGCTATAATGGGCCCAAATCACAAGCAAATACTTAAAAAAGAATATAGTAGGGATCAATCTTTTAACAGCTGTTAAACAGATCAGACGTTTATTTCTCTTGGTCACAATGCAATTATCCTCAAAGTAGGCTAAAATATACGCCTGAGAGGTTTATATTGCTGGCTACTAATACTGTGAGCTGTTAACACTGTTTAACTAGATTAACGAACTAGAAGCAAACTGACTTGGTAACCCATTTCTCTAGGGTGCCTGCATGCTAACACCCTTCAATATTTGCAATTTCATCTAAGTATTGACAAATAACTGCTAAATTACTGACACACAATCTTTTTACTGTCTTATTAACCTTTACTTTTTGTGAAGTGCCACAGCTTGTTACAAATACTAAAAGGAGTAGGATAAAAGCACATTAATGGCTGTGTCTTGCTTCAATATTTGCTCTTCTTTAAGCAAACTAGAAAGCAAACTGTTAGGCCTAATTGCAAATTGCCACTATCAAGACTTTTCTTTCATTTTGTAAGCAGAAAGAAAAGACATTGGATTTCAAGACCTATAAGTCTCAGTGCCAGTGTAACAGGTCTAAGCTCCCAGTGGCAGCCAATCACACCCCCTGGTGGCCATATGGCTCGTCCTGCCTGGCTCAATCTCTAAAGTAGCCCTCCCTTGATTACTCACCTGACACACCTTGTTCTTATTAAAGATTAGGGAAGGAAGCTGCCCACCAGCCTTAGAGTAAGCCCTAGTCCATTCAAGTCACCAACAGGTCCCTCCCAGACCCCACTGGTCTAAATTTGCCATTAAGTAAAAATGGACCCTTTCAGTTCGTCTGTGCCTCCAGGGCACTGCAGCCTTAAGAACTAAT